ATCGCCCTTGAATTACGTTGATCATTAAGCAATTGTATAAACGTGTTTATTTGATACATAACAAACACATGTGCAATTCGTACGATAAGAAAACTTCCAGTGGACGATAAACACATACAGGGGCGGATCCAGCTTTCCAGTCAGGAGGAGGATCAAGTAGTAGAAATTCAGTCTTTTGCCGTCCATGAAATTAGAAAAATTTTCTCGTTAGTCGTTAAAAACACAGCATGAAAACCCCCATGACCCCCCCCTGGATCAGCCCTTGCCCACATATGTGAAATCTAAGGTGCAAACTCGTACGAATGGTTTCGGAACTAGTGGACGAGCAAAGAAATTGGGTCATTCGCTTCTTTTCGCACGATTTTTGACGAAAGTTGTCTATTACTATTAACTATCACTAATATATTCAGATAACCGATTCCAGTGCGTTTGTGTGCTTGCGATAGAGAAATGCGCAATTGTCTTGATCCATAGCAGGAACAACCGCGCCGTAACGCATTCTATTCAAATCGCATCGTTATAAGAAGTTATCGCTTCAAAAATTGCGAGTAAATACTAATTTATACTCATTTATTGATTGCTTTGATTCACTTACTCAAAAATGAGGAGTTTTGCGAAGGAAACCCAAGGGAAGTTCTTTTTGTTGTCGCCCACGCTGTTGAAGGCTGGAATAAACTGCTGTATAATCGAAAAATGGAATGAGTGCGTTATCACTTCTCGGTGATTTCTCCATGTTGAACCTGCAGATAAAAAACGTAGGAGGAAAGCTGAGGCCAAGACTCCTCATTTTTAATGCCGCCAATTTTAAGCATAACTTTAGCTCGGTGCCTTCAATCGCCCCTTAACCCAATCGAGTTGAAATTTKGYATTTTTGCTTGCACAKCGACACYCAASTCTTCTTTTGAGKCATATAATGTTCTTTTGAGTCACGAAATGGCTTAGAATAAATGAACAGTATAAAAAATAATTGAGCCAATTTATCAACCCCCAAAACGTATCCCCCTAACGTGTTACATTAAGTAGCTAACGCTTATATAACGAATTATTAATTACTCGAAGTAGCTCAGTTGTTCCGGCTAACAAAGACTGACGACAGTCGTTAATAACTTCCATGTCCTTTATATCCGCTGCTGGTTAGCAAACGCCATGGTTAGCAATGACGGCAGGAAAATCGATTTTCTCATCTATTTATATTTGGCACAAGTAAAAATAAACCCCCGGATATAGAATATTGGAGGCCTTCAACTTGGTCGATGACTTTGGGTTTTTGCGACAGATTCACTCGACTCGCCTCTAAATCAGCTGCAAACGCCCCCCAAAAACACGCATTTCATAAAGCCTTTACCAATTATGCAGTAACGTTGAGTTGGAATGTGGAATATGCGGTCTGAGCGAGCCAGAAAAATGACGATATAAATCCACAAGGGCCGGAAACACGCTTTTCTATAGTCCCGAGCTATTTAATCCAGTGCATAAACCAAGTCAGCAGGAAAATATGAATGGTCCGGACATCGCATGTCACCACCGTCTTTCATGCAGCCATTTGGCTCGTTCAGCAGGATTCCTTCTGTTAGTCGTAACTGAAACTTTGTCCTGTGGGGACTTCTCCATAGAAAATCCTTCCTGCCATATTTTTTTTGGGCGAAAATGCCGGCTTAGGTTCCAACGAGTAGTTTGGATCGTCCCATACAAGTGAGTGACTTTTTGATCAATTTTAAAGCGATATTTTAGCCGCGCTTTTGCTTCTTCCGCAATAGTTTACATTTTATTCATCACCCGGTCAACATTAACCATCAAACACTTAGGGAATTCGATCTAAAGTCGCTTTTTTCGCAATTTTCCCTACCGTTTACCGATAGTTCCATTGAGCTATCAGTTCACTAAAATGTCCCAAACTCATTTTGAATTTCCACAATATAGGTTTATATTTTTGAGGATTTGAGAAGAATGTTTGAGGAGTGTTTCGGCAACGGCCCGTTCATCTTCAGGATCAACGACGCTGGTGCCGGGCCTCAACTGCTAGCTCAGGTATGCTTAGACACTTTCTGCCTGCAATAAACTGCCGAAATTTAGACAATTTTGAATGAAATATATCACAT